ATCGGGATATATCGTATCGTGACCCCTCTGTCATGATATGTATCGTATCACCAAATTCTTGCCAATACACAGCCTTAAAGGATAAAGCAGTATCAATGAATTTACAATATATTTTGTAGAACTAGTAATAGTGGAAGCTGCTATGTGATATCACAGCAAGAAGTATGGGATGTTGCATAAAAACAAATACAACCTTGCTTTATCTTAATTGATATTGGAGGTTATGGTTTACAATGGAATGTAATGAATGGCAACTTTAAATTATGATAAAGGTTGTACTGAATATATTCACATTATATCAGGTTTGTATTGWGTATATTTATCAACTACACAGCTGACAAAAACAATGACCTCAGGATTARAAGCTGACAGATGCAGCTAGGTTTAACAGCTGTCTGTCAGCTCACTTTAATAACAGTTTATGTCTGTTTGTTGAAACATTATGAACACAGACTGAACACAACTCTTCATAAATATTATAAACTCCAGTTGACACCAGTTTAAATCGTCGCAGYCAGCGTGAACAGCAGGAACAAGCTCTGCTGCCAGTGTAGCTACAAAGCTAACATCGTTATGATTGTCAGGATTAACCGCCGTTATTTTATTTTTATTTTTATTGTATAAGGCTCGTTCACAAAGCGCGCCCCGTCACTACGACTTGAACAAAAACGTAGCCTCATATCTACATCTGTCAACATCTGTCCTGCGTTTACGACTCTGCAGAAGGAGGATGGGTGTTAGCGTTAGCAACTTTAGCATCGCTAAGTGGCTGCCACCGCCGCCACAACCCCCCCACCGGTGGTTCTGCAGGGGGCATCCGAGTTTCCGTAAAAACCCGAAAACATGACCCGGTTACTGAAGGACAAACGGGCGGAGCACGTTTTAATTACGTTCAGAGCACCGTTTCAAGGCGTGAAGCTTGCGGAGCTTACCTCGGGATGGAGAATAGGGACGCAGCCAGCTTCTTTCTCGTATTCCTCCATTGCGTCGGCCATCTTGGTGGTGATGCTCGCTGAGCATTATGGGAAAGAAGAAGCTGTGGGGGCGAGGATGGAGGGCTTGTCAAAAACAYGGATGATGGACAGGTCACACGCATGCTCAGTACTAAATTACTGAGGGTTAGTGGTCAGTGTATCTTTTGGTCTTTGGTTTTTCATTTTCAAAACGGGTATTAAAAATCAAGAAATGAGTGGACATTTGATTTTTGTTTTAAAATACTGAAATTAAATTAAAAATACAATGTGTTTCTCAATGTCAAAAAGGGATAAACGAAATTTTAAAAATGATTTGAGTTTTATTTTCTGTTTCTGATAGCATAAAAGAAAATTACTTTAAGACAGAAATGAAAAAAGGCTTGTTTGTTCATAATCCATGACAGGTCGTACCAATTTACTGTCTCCCTACAATAATCTGTTTCACCACCAGAAGGGGTGTCTGCAATATCAAAGTTATTCAATGAACATCCCCATTACAAGTAAAAAGCATTAATGTTGACTTATGTTTGCCAAGTATTTATTTGGTATCAGATCAATATCAAAGTCCCACCCACCCTTCACTAAAAAGAAAAATCTAAGGACGCAAACTGACAGGAAAAAAAAATAAAATAAAACAAGCACAGATTTTGTCAAAATTCAGGAGGGGAAAAAAAAAACTTTTTTTGCCACTTCAGTAGAAAGCAGAACTGAGTATCAGTTTCTTAACTTCTCCATCATCGGTGACATTTTTTTCCTTTTTTCCTTTAAAAAAAGGAAGAAAAACCTTTGTGCCCACAGAACAACAATTGTCCAACACACTAATAGAATTAAATTTATCTTAATTTGCTTTTTATTGAGAAAAATGGAGATGAAACATGGAGGCAGTAGCTAACATGTTTTCAGTAAAAGAGACTTATTTGGCCAAAGGCCACATGAATTACCTCTGCAAAGCCTTTGGTCACAGAGCGACAGTCATCATACAACTCATTTATGGACACTTCTCTGTGTTTCAGCCTTTTATTTACAGAAATCAGTGTTTTATTATGCAGAGCTGTCAGGTGAGCGCCCCCTCTGGTGGGGGAATATATAGTCATAGAATACATATAAACAAGCCTTTTTCGTTTCTGTCTTAAAGTAATTTTCTTTTTTGCTATGCGAAACGGAAAATGAAACTCAAATCATTTTTTATCCCCTTTTGAAACTAAGAATGAGAATGGCTTTGTATTTTAATTTTAATTCCAGTATTTTAAAACAAAAATCAAATATCCACTCGTTTCTTGTTTTTTTATACCAGTTTCTAAAATGAAAATCCAATGACCAAAAGATACACTGACCTATTTGGTATCAGATCGATATCATAGTCTTAGTACTGCCCACCCTTCACTGAAAGGCAAACTCCGGCCATAAGAACTAACAACTGTTAGTACAACTGTACAACGCACTAATAGAATGAAAGTTCTTATTTTGCTTTTTATTTAAAGAAATGGAGGTGAAGTGGAGGCAGTGGCCAACATGTATTCAGTAAAAGAGATTTATTTGGCCCAAAGCCACATGAAGTATCTCTGCAAAGCCTTTGGTCACAGTGACAGTCATCATACAACTCATTTATGGACATGCATGTCTGTGTTTCAGCCTTTTATTTACAGAAATTAGTATTTTATTATGCAGAGCTGCCAGGCGAGAGCCCCTTCTGGTGGGGGAATAGATAGTCGTAAAATAACAAACAAGCCTTTTTTCATTTCTGTTTTAAAGTCATTTTCTTTTTTGCCATCTGAAACAGAAAATGAAACTAAAGTCATGTAAAAAATTTCGTTGATCCCCTTTTGACACCAAGAATGAGAAACACTTTGAATCTTAATTTTAATTTCAGTATTTTAAAACAAAAATCAAATAACCACTCGTTTCTTGTTTTTTAATACCTGTTTCTAAAATGAAAATCCAATGACCAAAATGAAACAGCAGTTCTATTAATCCATTTTAATTAGGATTATGGAACACAATTGCTTCCATACAAAAGATACACTGACCCATTGAGCCACCTTTTTCTTTTTAAGTGGAGGAAAAAATAAGAAGTGTGAGGACTATCCATCCATCCATCCATTTTCTTCCGCCTATCCAGGGTCGGGTCGCGGGGGCAGCAGCTTCAGAAGGGAGGCCCAGACCTCCCTCTCCCCAGC